AGAGATAGAGAGTGAGAGAGAACGAGAAAGAGAGATAGTGAGAACGAGAATGTTGTGCAGTTTGTTATTTGATTGTTTTTTCCAATGGCTCTCCCACAGACTGGAAAATGTAAGAATGTTTGAATCGAGAATACCAGAGAAATGAAAGAACACACCTCATATTTTTTTATAATCATAAGGTACAAAAAGGTCTGGAAACACAAACAAATCATCAAAATAAAACACCTGTACAATTCATGGTGCTTTGTCAAAATAGGATTTATTACAATTGCAATTACGATTTTACAGTACCGTTGACCAAGTCATACATTTAAAGTTATAGACACAAGTGCTGTACACGGTAAAGATAGTCTGTCTAGCCTGGTTTTTAAGCTTACTCTACTCTAAATCTATACATGATGTAGATCTACAGAAGAAAAAAAAGAATTAGAAAGAACTGCTTTCCTTACTTTGGTACACTTCCAACATGATTATGAGCCACTATCTGTACTTGTGGTATTTCATTGAGCTTTGGGCAGCCATTTCTGATAACTACCGGTACTTTACTTTTTATTGATAATACATAGTCTTTGCTGAGTTTTTGTTGTTGCTCAAAACCCCAGTACAAACAAGTACAAGTACAAGTGACCAGACAGTATAAAATTTCTACTACACTTACTTTCCAGGAAAGGACTTGCAAAAAAAACAACCCCCCCCCCCTAAAAAAGCCCAACTGGAAAAAATATAATTAAATTCATTTGAATTCTAGATCTAATTCTTAAAAAAAATAAATTTAAAAAAAAGGAAAAAACCCTGATACTGATAGTATAGAGGACACTTCAGGGTTACTCAAGAGATTTTGTTTCAGATGCATTACATTTCAAGTAGCCTACGACCACATTATGTGAACTCTTCACTTGTTGTGGGGGTCATGGTATTATTACTATTATTATTATTCATAACTTTTTCTTACTGTCAAAATGAATCGGTGTAGATGTACAGTTAGGTGAAGTCACGCACCTGTCATTGTCAATCATTCAGGGGTGTTAAACTTTATACCATTTGACCATTTTCATACGCCTATTTCCTATAACTACACACCCACTCTTTTAATATTTTTTTCTTATGTTCCTATTTTCCTGGCTTGTTCCTAATGAAATGTGACTGTTATCTTGCTGGTATGCTTTAAATTTAAATCAACAAATTAGCATCAGCAACAACAGGAATAAAGTCCAGACTTTCATCAACAGATGTATGAGGAGTATTCTAAGAATTAAGTGGCAGGATAGAATAAGAAATGAAGAGCTGTGGGAAAGGACAGGACAAAAGGATATAGAAGTAGAAATAGAACTAAGAAAGAGGCGATGGATGGGACACACCTTAAGAAAGCCCAGCGGAAACATCACCAGACAGTCACTGCAGTGGAACCCCCAGGGAGCACGAGGCAGGGGTAGGCCACGGGAAACATGGAGGAGATGTGTGGAAAGGGACATGAGAGAGATGAAGCTCACTTGGAACGAGCTTGGAAGGATGGCTCAGGACAGAGATAAATGGAAGGAGCTTGTATGTGGCCTATACCCTGCCAGGGATGAAAGGCATTGATGATGATGATGATGATGATGATGATGATTTCCTATCACTATTAAACACATGTAATTGCATCAAGTACCAGACCCTGACCACATTCTCTGCAAACTTTCATTACAATCACAATCAAGCAAAATTCTCCTTTGAAGTTATTTAGGCCAACATGTTTTCACGGGCCCACAGAACAGGGAGATTTTACCATTACAAAATGTATTTATTTGCCTCTATCATAATGGTCTATATGAAATGAAATCTAGCCAAACTCAACAAGGCAGCAGCAGCAAAACTCAAAAACTTCAACAAAGGCCAAGTTGTGATGAGCTGAAAACTTGTATATTTAAATATGTGTTCCAATTTTGGAAGAACCGGAAAGGAAAACAGTAAGATGACTTATGTATGGAATTCCCTCTTAGAAAGAGGGGGGTATGTTAAACTAAAGGAGAGTCAAGTTGTTACAATGAGCCTCACTTTGGTACCCTGTGACAGCCAAACATGAACAATTGTGCAGTTGGGATACATGAAGAAGTAAAAAAGGTGTGCAAAATGGGAAATGTTCCATATAATACAAAAAATACACGTAGGCTACTACAGCACCAAGATCAAAGCAACAGTACTGGAGTATGAGGACAAATCATATGATGATAATAATAATAATAATAATATATAACATTTATATAGCGCATTTCCAAAAAAAGTAGCTCAATGTGCTTTACATTGGAATACCCATTTTTCAAAAACCTTTCTTCTCAAGCAATATACATTAATGCACACACACACATACACACACACACTCACAGAGACTATTTTCATCCTGACATAGAAACAGAACAACTATAATGAAAGATAACGTTAAAAGCTTATGAAGGATAGGCCTGTAGGAACAGAAAATGTTTAAGATGTCTTTTGAAGCTATCAACCATTGCCATACAAAGACGCATTTTCTAGAACTGTACCAGCATGAAACTGAGCAGTTAATTAAGTAGGCATTGGTCCATCCAAATAGAAAATGGGTATTTTTGTGCTGAACCAGTCGACATTCCACGGTGCAAATGGACAGACAGTGTAATACAGTCATTACAGATCATATTATTTATTATTATATCAACCGATTCAACCCTTCTTCTGCACTCCCACCCACATCTCCTTGCAACTATTAATTCACAATTTTATGAAATCATGTGTCACTATCTTTGGACACGGTGGGCTACAGTAATTCAACACTCTTTTCTGTCTTGTTTCAAAAAAATTTTTTTTTAGTAGAGGGTTTTACAGCGCTCGCAACTGCATAAGGTCATATGAGCGCCAAGGGGTGGGGGTCAACAGAGAAGTCTTTACAGGGAATCAGACTTACTCGGCTCACTTCTCTATCTAGCTTCAACAGCACAAGGCCTGCTTCGACTATCAAGGCACCCCGGAAATAGCGGGTCACAAGAGAGTGACAAACATACTCTTTTCTGTAATGAGGACAAAAGATTAAATAAATAATATTTAGTTAATCTTTATCAGCAGGCCATGTTTTCGTCATGCATTACTACATGTATGTATCACTAAAATGTTGTACCATTTTACTCCAACAAGCCCTTTCTAAAATTTTTGAAAATGAGCAATCAGTAAGTATGTTTTTGTTAAGAAAATTGGCAGAAAGGAGCTCCATTTCTGACATTTCATTTCAGAAAGTGAAAAAATGGACTGGGGAAAAACATCTCATCCCACTTTCCCACTGACTTTCGTTCAAGGGTCTTTTATATCTTTGCCATCGGTGCGGACCAGTCCGATGGATCTCCATCCAGATCATGATGGAGACTATAGTTAGAATAAGTAGACAGACTCTGGGATGGATCCTGAAGACGGGGGGGGGGGGGGGCGCGGGCAGAGATGGACATGTTCCGACTGCAGTGACCCCAACACAGTGGACAAGAAAATAACAAGAAAAATAAGGTCTTTATACCTTTGAGAAACACTAATACTAATACTCAACATAACATTAAAAAAAATAGTTGCATGTATTACTACTGGTTGAGACAAACATTTTAAATGAAAAATAATTTTTTAAAATTTAGTAAAGGTTTTTACGGCGCTCGCAAGTGCATAAGGTCATATGAGCGCCAGAAGATTAGAGTAGGTGTTACAAGAGAGTAACGAACGTAAAAAAGAAGAAGAGGAGATAAGGACGATAGTTTTCTATAGGAAAGAAAATTAAATGCCTAGCAACGAAGTATTATATTCAATATATATATACATATATGTACAACTTACAAAAAGCTTATCAACATGTATTGCTGCAATACCTGTACAAAAGTTCTCGAAGAGCCAGATAAACTTGGACAAGAAAAACAACATAAAAAATGCTCTGGAGAAAAAAGTACTATATATCTAAAGCTTCTCCTGCAATTTATCACCTGTTTCATCTATCCTCTAATATTACTATCCCGTCTTGCAAGAGACTAGTACATCTAATTAAGCACCCTTCGCTTTTGTCCGAGAAAGTAGAGAGCTGGTTTTAAAGTGAGGGCGGGAAAAGCTTTTATAAATGTATGCTCAGGAGAGGCAGAACTAGATCTACTCGTAAGTTAAGCCAAAAGTTGACCGATAGATGAGAGCAGCATTCTCCTACAGAGGCAAATCTGTCGAGTCGTCAGACTCAGTGTAAGGATACACCAAGTGTGTATTACATTTAAATAATCCACAGAGCCTGTTTAAAAGTTATCAAGCCACCCCCCAAAAAATCACTCAGAATCAGGTCTTGGATGAAAAGTTGCAAATTTTTTTCTTCCTCCTTTTGTCATCCAATCCAATTTCAATTTCAAACATCATTAGCAGTTAAAGTGACAGCATGCAAACGAATTGGTCCCAATGTAAAGAATACGATCCTTTTCATTTTTACATTTGAGTAACCCACAATGCACAAATATAATACAATACAAAGATCAAAGAAGGCACATTTTCCTCGTCTTTTAGAGAAAAGACTGCAAACGCAAAAATAAATAGACTATATGAATCTCCAGTCCCCATGTCTCCAGTCAACGCTTTCATAAATATTCCAAGCATTGAACTTTTAGAACTTAGTTGCAAAGATCTCAGTAATTGTCTAATGACATTAGTACATGTAGAGCAATACAAATGTTCATAGTGCCACTTGTGGCTTGTATTTTTACCTACAGGGGGCATCACTTCAATATTGACTTTTTTTTTGTAACTCTTCATGACTTTGACTAAGCCTGTGTTCATCATGTCTTTTATTTTATTTGTTCTAGTAAGAATTTTACAGCACTTGCAACAGAGTAAGGTCATATAAGTACCGAAGATTAGAGGTATTACAAAAGAGTAACAAACAAACAAAAAAGATGGAGGAGAGAAAAGGATGATAGATGTTTCATAGGAAAGGAGGAAACACATATTTCGTTATGTCTTATTTGTAATTAAAAAAAAAAAAAAAACGATGGATGAGGCCATGTTGAAACAAAATTTCTTTCATCTATTTAACAATCAAATCATTTGCACAAGAGTAACTGTACAGAAAAAAAGCAAACTTTCATAAACTGGAAGATAATAGAAACAGTGAGAGTCTTAAATTCGTTCATGCTTTGAGGTAACCAGCAGTGCCATACGAGCAGCGCACACTACTCAACAGAAAAATTGGAGGACAATGAAACGGGAAACTGGGAAACAACTAGTTAGACTTTTCTCTGTCTTGAACTTCTGCGTAGACCCGCCCTTGAGGCCCTGAAACTTTTCCTTGTGGGAGTCGAATCACCGGCGTTGTTGGCAGAGCTGGTGGGAGAGGGAGCTTCCTCTTTCACAACCTGGTCAGGAAGATCAAAGTTTAGTTAGTTATAGTAAGAGTTTTAAGGCACTTGCAACACAATAAGGTCATGTAAGGGCTGAAGACTGCATGTGTTACAAGAGAGTAGCAAACATAAAAAAAAGAAGGAGAAGAGATCGTTTTTGGTTTTAGTAAGAGTTTTACGGCACTTGCAACACAATAAGGTAATAAAAGTGCCGAAGATTAGAGGTGTTACAAGAGAGTAACAAACACAAAGAAGAAGGAGGGGGAGAAAAGGACAACAGACATACCATCAAGAGATTAAACAATGGGACACACAAGAAGATCAATCAAATCAAAGCAATTCTGAATGACGAACACATAAAAGTATTCACAATACATACTGTAGATTAGCTGTTCAGATGCATTAGTACTAAGCCTAAAATTTTGAACAATTTATTTATTGCAGGTCTTAATCTGTGATATATTGATATCATGTGTTCAAAATATATTTTGTCAAAATCCAAATTCAAAGAAGGAAAAAAAAAGGAAGTAAAATACATAGAGTAGACAGGTACAACTTAAAAGAATGAAACAGATTTTTTCCTCTCTCTTACATTATATTGTTGCTTTCTTGGCTTAGTATGTTATTTGAACAGCCAGTCGACAATGTATATATGTGAGGCAGCGCGGTGGAATCAGGCTCTCGTCAAAATAATCAAAGTGAAGAAACTTGCATTTTTCCGCAGGTTTGTGAATTTTTATCAAATTTTTGTTTTTTTGGCTCAACACCTTTCATGCCCATTAAAGAACTGTGTGGATTTTTCTGAAAAACGTTGATGAAAGGCATAAAAAATGTAAATTTTCAGTTATCGCGGACTCTTAAGCTAAAGTAATAACTAATCTTTGGCGGCCATTTTCTCACTAATTTTACCTCTGAAAACAAGTGACCCCCACCTCCTTCTTTCGCAAATATCTCGACTTGTAATCAAGATAAATGGATATTTTTAAAATCCAAATAAAGACAAGTGAACAAGCTTTGAGATGATACCATTAACTCTACATGCCCAAAAATTGACGAGAGCCTGATTCCACCACGCTGCCTCACATATGTGTGCGTGCCTAAAGAAAGATACCAAAAGTCAGATTTTAACCGTTTTGAGTTAAGGGTTGTACCTAATAGTAATAGGACATTCAATGCTGAACACTCACAGTGTGTTTTGAATTTTTGAGATATCTCAAGTAGTTTTTGAGATATTGCACATTTTGCGAGGTAGGGTGTAAAGATCTAATTTTGAGAAAATAAGCTTTGAAGTTTAGAACACAATACAAACTTTAAATAAAAAAAAAAAGATGATTCAATTGTTTCTAATGTATTTATTCATGGAAAATTCATTTCCAATTCGGCTTTCAGTTGACATCAATATCATGATTAGAATTCAATGGTAAAACATACAGGGGAAGAGAAAACGCTTCAAGAATAGATTTTAACACTTTTTAAAAGCAGTTTTCATTATCTTTTTTAAAAACATACCCTACCCTCAAAATATTTTCAAATAAAATATTTAGAAGTTAAATCCATGAAAACTCCTTTAACACAATGTTAAAAAATGGTGGGACTATCACTATCATTTTTTAAAAATGGAAACACATTTTGGTCAAAAAAGTGATTTTTGGTCGATATCATCAGCCTGTAGCTCAAAAAGGTCTGTGGCGACTTTTGGTACCTTTCTTTAGGCACACACACACACACACATATATATATATATATATATATATATAAAGTCTCAGTATTGTACTCACAGGAGATTTGATATTCCACTGGGCAAGCTCAGGGTCTCTGGGGAAAGGAAAAACACAAGCAAAATAAACTTGAGCATATTAACTGGCCAACGGCAGATAACGCTGAAGAAAGGGAATCTTTAGACCAACGTCAACTTAGCACCCAGTAATTTTCCTCTTAGTCTTCTTAGTCTTATATGGTAGTAGTGAGTTCTTAAAATCAATTGGGTTCCTTAATCTTTTCTCTCTCCACATACTTGTACTAACTACTCTTGAGAAAACAAACAGCTTGCTTATTGTTGAGATACAAAGTCTCACGTCCACATGAGAAGATTAATTAAGCCAGAGACAATGAATGAGACTGTTATTCATTACAAGGTATTACTATTCATTAAAAGTTCTTACTGAACATACATAAGAAAACACAAGTACAGTCATTTCCTTTCAAATTTTACGCCAAATGAGAGGGTCAGAACTCTACGCCATGTCAGAACTCTATGGTCAGAACTCTACGCCATGTCAGAACTCTATGGTCAGAACTCTACGCCATGTCAGAACTCTATGGTCAGAACTCTACGCCATGTCAGAACTCTATGGTCAGAACTCTACGCCATGTCAGAACTCTATGGTCAGAACTCTACGCCATGTCAGAACTCTATGGTCAGAACTCTACGCCATGTCAGAACTCTATGGTCAGAACTCTACGCCATGTCAGAACTCTATGGTCAGAACTCTACGCCATGTCAGAACTCTATGGTCAGAACTCTATGGTCAGAACTCTACGCCCTTTTCAAGAAACCCGAAGTCACAAAATAATTTATTCAATCAACATGAGAGTAATGATTAATGAGTGCAAAAAATATATGTTTTTGTCCTTTGAAAATATTCAGACCCTATAAAACTTTTGTTGTTAATGGTCATACCAAAGCAACAAGGAAAAAGACATTATCTGTCCCTGTCGTTTTATGCAAGAAAAATTCTGAAAATATGCAAAACTGAGCCCAAAAATGTGAAATTATGCAATTCTGTTAATTTTAACAAAGAATGATAAAGGAAAATAATCAGAAATTATGCATAAAATGACCAAATTTGGCTAAATTATGGGGGGTGCATAAAACCACGGGGACAGCTTTATGACCGAGGGAAAGCTGCTGTGTCACAGAACCAAACTTATCCATTCCCTTCAAAATGTCAAATACAGGCTTCTTGCAGAAAACCGTTAAATCCACTCATCAAACGCCAGGATTCAAACTCTTTCTCACTCACTTCGCATCCGGGTGAGGCATGTGGATGACTTCCTTGTTGCCTCGTCTCTGCACCCTGATGGCGGGGGATAAGCACAGCTGTCCTGGAACACAAAAAAAAATCGTAAAAGTCAATCAGATGAAACAAGGACCAACTTATATTTGCAACTACACATGGCATTGGACAGAAGAGCGAGAGCCCAGCTGTTGCTGGATCAATAACAACAACAACAACAATATTTGCAACTGAAAAGTGTGATGAAAGAATGTACAATAGGGTACAGATTACACGCACATCGTCATCATTATTGCCTTTCTCCCCCTGGATCAGAATATAGGGAACGAACCAGAACAGGGTTAACTCTTTAAGCCCTGAGTTTTTTTCTACCATTTCCCGGAGTTTTTTCCACTGTCACCTAAACCTGGCGCACTATGTCTCATTATAACCCCAAAAAGCTCGCCTCCAACGTCTAAATAGCGGACACAAAGGCTTAGTCATTACTAAAAAACTTGGTTCGGTAAATAGTTCCGAAAAACAAGCAAAAACTAGCACTGAATAAAACAAAACAGTTGTCTCTGGTACTGGATGCTCCCAGTGTCCGATGGGGTTCAAAGAGTAAATCCGCACACAGAGATAAAAAGTGCAATTAATTCCTGATATTTTCCTTTTATTTGAGCAACCTCTCTAAACCAAAAAACTCGGCCAAACCAAAGATAATTTGGTGGTTCCGCAGATTTAAGCTTTAAGCAGACTCCACAGTATTTCCTTGTACTTGTACATCAAGTAGATTTTCATTGACAAGGGCAGAAAGAAATTTTATTTGAAAACAGTACGCAGCACCCATATCATCAACAAATCACAATCATTGTCTTACTCCATTGGCGTCGGTGGCCAGGCTCTCGGACTCGCAACCGTAAGGTCGTGGGTTCGAATCCCGTCAGGGACCCGACGTTGTATCCTTGGGAAAGGCACTTTACACGAATTTTCCTCACTTCACCCAGGTGAGAATGGGTACCCGGCTATAGACAGCGAAAGATCTTGTCAGTTTGTTAGTGTTTGAGCGCTTAATCAGCTGCTTGTACTGTATGCTTCCCGTGAAGCTCAGAATGTTTCGGAGTGTCCTATGGTCTGCTGGGGTAATTATATAGTGTAAAGCGCATAGAGCTTGCTATTGAGCGGGGATATGCGCTATACAAATGCTATCTATTATTATTATTATTATAAAAACTTGTAAATTCTTTGCCACATCAAAAGGCCAAATGGCTCCAATTCAGATGGCTGTTGGTTTTGAAAAGTAAAGCCATGAGTTTTTTTTTTAAAATTGAAGCGTAAGAAGACTGAGGCTGACTTCAAAGACATTCAAGTGGCTTACCCCCTTTGTTGATGGCACTGGCCACCGAGGGTATGGGGGACGGGGGGCAGATCGTCAAGTTTCCCTCCCCGGCGAACGTTATGTTGTACAAGGCATCTGTGGAGGAAGAAAATAGTTCAATGAAGTCAAAGGTCATGTGGCATTTGACAATCTTTATTCATCTCGCAGGGAGAAATTGGTCTTAGTTTTTTTTTTTGGGGGGGGGGGGGGGGGGGGGGGGGGGGTGTTGTAAGAGTTTTACGGCACTTGCAACACAATTAGGTCACATAAGTGCAGAAGATTAGAGGTGTTACAAGGGAGTAACAAGCACAAAAAAGAAGGAGGGGAGATAAATAAAGACGATAGATGTTTAATAGGAAAGGAGCAAAGCACACCAGAGCACCCGCCAACCACACACAAGTTGGTCTTGGTCGTTAATAATGGCAGTAGACGTTACAAATGTTAGGTACACTCCTGCATACACGCACAACAAGACAGGACATTCGTAAATATTGATATCTCACATGGTGGAACAACCCGCTCCGTAAAACTGTCCCCGTGGTTTTATGCACCCCGAATAATTTAGCAAAATTTGATCATTTTTTTGTGTGCATAATTTCTGATTATTTTCCTTTATCATTCTATGTTAAAATTAACAGAATCGCATAATGTCAAAATTTTTCTGGAATAAAACGACGATGACAGGTAAAACATCCCCCCCCCCCGCATTTCATTTGTAGTACTGTGTGTTCAGTAACCTCACTGCAGATGGTGAACACGACCTTAATGCCACAGGAGCATGTTACAGTTACATGTATCTCTGGAGTTTCACTTATTATCACAAAATGACCCCGTAACATCCTGTGATTCTCGCTTTCTCAACCTTATCCGTACGCCCTGGGATCATTTTGGACCCCCGCGGTTGGTTTCTTCACATTTTAGAATATTTTTAGTCCGACGATCTCTTTGAAACTTTCAGTATTTCTCAAAAAATCATTTTGACAGACAGCTACGCAAAGCGTACGGATTGGATTAACGAGTAAATTTCCTCTTTGGAAAGTGGTGGCACAGAGTTCCCCACGTCGTACGGATACGATAGTACAACACGATGTACGGATAGAGTTAAGGCATAATTGTACGTGTGAATGTGTTGACATCTATTAAGGACAGCCTTTCTCATCAATATATCAGTCATGTCTTTTTTTCAAGACCTAAATGAAATTTTAAAACACCAATCAAACTTTTTTGGTCAATTTTTTTAATTTTTAGAATTATCCAAGACCTACGAGAAATTCTTAAAATCCAATTACATTTATAAAAAAAACATTAAAAAAAAACAGGACAGCTTTTTTCATCAACATATAAGTTGACTTTCTACAATTTAAAAAAATAATAATTTATCCATGACTTATACTTTCCCCGTGGTATTATGCACCCCGCACAATTTTCATTGCAAAATTTGATCATTTTTTGCACAATTTCTGATTATTTTCCTTCATCATTCTTTTTTAAAATGAACAGAATCGCACAATTTCACATTTTTGGGCTGTTTGGATAATTTCAGAATTTTTTTTCTTGCATAAAACGACGGGGACAGCTTATAAGAAATTATAGAAAATGTTTTTAGGTCATCCATAATCGTGTTATCGATAAAAATAGACGGTAACATAAATGATGATACTATAGGGGGGGGGGGGAGATGATGAGAAGGGGTGGGGGGAGGCAATTACAGCGAATTATAGGCGATTTCCAGGTTGAGAACCGTAGATATGGGGTACATAGAAGCGGAACCAATAAATTGGCAAAAAGATATTGTTAATCCGAATACAGGAAAAAAAAGGGGCTAAAACAGCACCTGGACATGGATGGCTGGTGCCTCTATAAATAAATCATTGATGGTCAGGTTTTAGGTGGCTTCCCCCCCCCCCTAAAAAAATTCTAATTTTTTCATCGTTACCTCCAGTCGGGGTACTGATCGCTCTCATGGGAGACAAGCTGTTCTCGTCCGTCTCCTGAAAGAGAAAAAGGACCAGTAGGAAAAAATACAACTATAATATACTTTTTTAAAGAAGTGTTTTACGGCACTAGCAATACAATAAGGTCATATAAGTGCAGGAGATTAGAGGTGTTACAAGGGAGTAACAAATACAAAAAAAAAGAAGGAGGGGAGATAAAGACGATAGATGTTTGATACGAAAGAAGAAGCAGACCACGCCAGAGCACCCGTCAACCACCCGCCAACTATAATATACGCTAGGAAAGAAGCTGTTTCTGAACACAATCAAATCTGCGATTAAGTCCAAGACAATCACCTGTACAAACGACCACTTCCCACTCTCCCATTCATTGTTCATTGTTACAGGAAGCAACATCCCTGCACTCCGGACACGTCCATTGATGCTCCGTTGCTCTCTCCAAAATGTTGCAGAGGGTCCTTCCACTGATTGTGCCAGTGCACATCTGGTTGAACGTTCTTCTGTTCTTTCCTGCAAGGATGCCAGATTTTCCGCTTCCTTTTTGTATTCCCCACTCTCCCACTGCATCTCTTTGGTATCATAAATAACACTGTCTCAGACATTCACCTGCCTAAGGTAATCACTTTTCTCCCTCGACAATGGGTGGCTGTCTGACAATTTAGACGGAACAGGTGGGGAAAGGGAGGGTGGAGACTGATTCATCAATGTCACGCTCATAACTGTGCCTTATCTACAACAGGGAACTGCTGCTTTTTCTTTCCTGATCTTTTTTGACTGTATAGGTGCAATAATTTTGAAAGATTATCGTAAAAGACAGAGCCCGTTTCATGTAAATTCAGGAAGTAACATTTTAGCTAAAACTGAACATTTAAAAAAAAGGGTTAATCATCATCATCATCATTGCCTTTCTCACCCTGGATCAGGATATAGGCCACGAACAAACACTCTCCACCTTTCCCTATCCTGGGCTAGTCGCTTGATGTCACACCACATCTTCCCACTTTTCAGTACATCCATTTCCGTGAAAGGGTGAATAACATGAACAAATTATGATCACAAAGAACACACAGTAGATACTTCACAGGCGATGTGCAGTTCTAAAAATATCCATCTCTAATGGGGTTTTTTTCTAATACCTCAGTTGTGTTGCCTTTTGAGTGATCATCACTCTGATTTTGAGCTGTCCGTTTTCCTTTGGAATGACCTGCTCCCTGAAAATAAAGATGCACACATGTATTATATCATCAAGATCATAACCATTAAAAAAAAATTAGTAGAGGGTTTTACGGTGCTCGCAACTGCATAAGGCCATATGAGCGCCAAGGGGTGGGTGTCAACAGAGAAATCTTTACAGGGATTCTGGTCACACGAATACGAAAAGTAAAGAGAGATCGGACGAAGAATGGCAAATTGCACGAGCTATTCTTGATTTCAATTTTTTTGCATGTTCGTGTTTTCTGTGCCCAGCTGTACTGTGTCTACATACCTTTCGGAAAGGCGAGGAAGGGCTGGAGCGCAACTGATCCACGCGGCTCATCGCTTTCCTCGCTGCATTCACCAGACTGACAGACGCGCGCCTGCTGATAGATTGTTACAATGGAAACAAATCAAACACACACATCGAGAGAAGCTGGAGCAAACAACAAGTATGACGGTGAATCGTAGAGAGTGAGGGATAGCGAGCAATAATTCAATGAACTTATTTGTACCGTACCTGTAAGGCTAGAAAACACGCCACACTAACATGCAACAAATAAAAATGTTAATAATAATAATAATAATAATAATAATAATGACAGTGTGAGATTCATTCACACAAAAGGATGGACAGACATTTGTAAAAATTGGTCACTAAATGTGTTAAAAATGTTCACTGATCTGAGGTAAATCTACATATTTTGCAATTCTATGACTTTTTATTATTAATTACAGTGGAGTTGGTTTAAACCGAACACAGTTAATCCGAAAATACTGGTAAACCTAAAGAAAAGAAAATCCCCCTTTATTAGTAGAAGTTACACAGCGCTCGCAACTGCATAAGGTCATATGAGCGCCAGAAGATTAGAGCTGTTACAAAAGAGTAACAAACATAAAAAAGAAGAAGGGGAGATACGGATGATAGATGTTTTGACAGGAAAGAAGAAACAAACCACACCAGAGCACCCATCAACCACCGACCCGTACCCTTTGCATAGCAGTCTGTCAAAATGATTTTTTGAGAAATACTGAAAGTTTTAAAGCTATCTTCGCACAAGAAGTATTCTAAAATGTGAAGAATACAACCCCAGGGGTACAAAATGACCCAGGGCGTACGGATAGGGTTAAGGAGACGTACCTGGGTGATCCGGCGGCAGCCACAGGGGACGATCCGCCCGACGATCCAGCATCTGACAATGGCGGGCGTGGAGACGCCACCATCTGGACATTTTGGTCCGCTGTGCTCTCCCGCAACGTGGGTCTCACAGCCGCCGCGGGCTGCCCCGCATCACCCATGACGGTGGTGGTTGTGGGCTGGTTGGCCTTGACAAGCGGGCTCGCCGGTCGACTGCTGGGTCGTGACCCCATGACTGGCGTGCTGGCTCCGCTCCTGACGACTGGGGTGTTGCTTCCACTTCTGATAACTGGCGTGCCGGGACGAGATCCCTGTGGACCAACGAGTTACCGATAGAGAGAGGAACGGCTACTTTTGTCCAGCTTTTTTAAAGTTTTAGTAAGAGTGTTACGGCACTTGCAGCACAACAAGGTCATATAAATGTTACAAGAGAGTAACAAACACAAAAAAGAAGGACGGGAGAAAAATTGTTCTGTATTGGTGTAATATTGTGTATGTATGTATATGTATTTATCTATGTATGTATTTCTAATTATGTATTTATGTACGTCTGTTTGCAGTTGTAATTAAAATTTTTCCACGCGGATCAAAAAAAAAAAAAAAAAAGTAATTTATAACACGGAAGAGATCTTAAGCCAAAACAGAAGATTCGGAAATTGGACTGTAACTAACGTGAAAAAATTCTGAATCATCTCAAAACGACTTCACAAGACAGAGAGATTAGAAAAACAATTAGTTATATTTTAGTGAACCAAGAATCATTACCATAACAGCCATATTTCACCAGGAACAGACCTGGACAATAAAGCCAATCACAACACAGAAAACAAATAGAAGGGGCAGACCTGACTAGAACATCATCTTAGTTTTAGTAAGTGTTTTACGGCACTTGCAACACAATAAGGACATACATATAAGTGCCGAAGATTAGAGGTGTTACAAGACGGTAACAAATAAAAAATAGAAGGAGGAGAGATAAGGACAACAGATGTTTGATAGGAAAGAAGGAGCAAACCACACCAGAGCACCCGCCAACCACACACGAAACATCATCTTACCACCTCCCCGAGACAGGAAGCGAGGCCAACCCCACTGACACTACAGGAGAAGCTATACGGGCTGACAGATGAACTGAGCAGGACGGCCCAATTTATGACAGATACCAGACTTCAAGTGTGATGCGATTGAGAAGAAGAAGAATCATCTTACCACCTGCATTACAGCAACAAAAGCATACCTGTTTCCCACCCGCCGCTCTCTCGGCTTGCTGAGTCTCAAAGTTGCGGAGATCAAACTCAATTTCTTCTGCCAGCTGTTTATCTGCGGCAAGAATATCTGAAGGAAAAGACGACGCGACGAGCAGTAAAACACACTGAACTGTCAGCCTTTGGGAAAGCAACACCAAGAAAAAAAAAAAGAGCAGTTGATGAGCCTGCTCTTACAAGCACCTGTCCAAAACAATCACCCGTACAAACAACCGTGTCCCACCTGGTGCACCTGTCCAAAACAATCACCCGTACAAACAACCATGTCCCACCACTTGGTGCACCTGTCCAAAACAATCACCCGTACAAACAACCATGTCCCACCTCCTGGTGCACCTGTCCAAAACAATCACCCGTACAAACAACCGTGTCCCACCTCCTGGTGCACCTGTCCAAAACAATCACCCGTACAAACAACCGTGTCCCACCTGTCCAAAACAATCACCCGTACAAACAACCACGTCCCACCTGGTGCACCTGTCCAAAACAATCACCCGTACAAACAACCGTGTCCCACCTGGTGCACCTGTCCAAAACAATCACCCATACAAACAACCGTGTCCCACCACTTGGTGCACCTGTCCAAAAAAATCACCCGTACAAACAACCGTGTCCCACCACTTGGTGCACCTGTCCAAAACAATCACCCGTACAAACAACCATGTCCCACCACCTGGTGCACCTGTCCAAAACAATCACCCGTACAAACAACCGTGTCCCACCTGGTGCACCTGTCCAAAACAATCACCCGTACAAACAACCATGTCCCACCACTTGGTGCACCTGTCCAAAAAAATCACCCGTACGAACAACCGTGTCCCACCTGGTGCTTTTTCTATAATATTTAATATTACAATAACAATGCCCAAGAAGACTGCCTGTCTACTAAATAACTAAAACTGGTAAATAAAGGACACCATAAAATGTGGATAATCTTAAACAGAAAGAGAAAGAGCAAATAGGACACTGCAAAATGTGGATAAACTAGATGAGAAAAGAAAAAAGAAAAAGAAAAGCAAATAAAGAGATATCTTCCTCGTCTTTTGATTCAATCGCCGCTTTTCCCTTTCAGCTTCTTAATCTTACAGATATATACGCACAATAAGTACCTACCACAGAGCTCGCTGTTCAGTATTTTGTACGTATAAAAAGGCTGCAATACAAAAATGTTACGTTCAAATCTATAAAACTGATCAAAAGTCATCAATCTGCCCTCCTACAACTGTATTTTACGCCCACCTATCAGGTTGCCATCAGCCAGTAATCGCCCTAGGCACCGACCTATTTCATATTCAGAAGAAACAAATATTAAAGCGCGTAGATCTTCATCAGATAGGGTAGTACCTAACCGTTTGTCTGCAGAATTAGTTTTACTACCAGAACATCACCTCCTCAGGACCGTAGCTCTGTCTGAAAAGTTAGATGAGAGAGTTATCTAGAAGGCAAACCCCCCCCCCCCCCAACTTTTTACCACCCAAATATTCACCACTCACCTTTGACTTCATTTTTGTAGTCCTTCATCAGCTCCCGCAGGTATCTCATCAAATCCTTCAGAAGGGGCGAACGTTTTTTCTCCAACTGATAAACACACACAAAACAGGATAGGTTTCTTCGTCAGTAATTAGAAATGTGCTCTATCTGACAACCCGCATAAAGGTAGGAGGCAACAGCTTTCCCATCTAAAAAAAAAAACCCCCCAAATTATTTGAACAAAATCAACCGAACTGGAAAATTATTTGAACAAAATCAACCGAACTGGAAAATTATTTGAGCAAAAATCAACCGAACTGGAAAATTATTTGAGCAAAAATCAACCGAACTGGAAAATAATTTGAGCGAAATCAACCGAACTGGAAAATTATTTGAGAAAAAAATCAACCGAACTGGAAAATAATTTGAGCGAAATCAACCGAACTGGAAAATTATTTGAGAAAAAATCAACCGAACTGGAAAATTATTTGAGCGAAATCAACCGAACTGGAAAATTATTTGAGCGAAATCAACCGAACTGGGAAATTATTTGAGCGAAATCAACCGAACTGGGAAATTATTTGAGCGAAATCAACCGAACTGGAATTCAAAATACAGTTGAACCTATTCTAAAAGCCACCTGTCCAAGACAGGATGACTCCTGACACTTTGCTACACGAGGTGTTTAACTATTAAGTCCAGATTCAAACCACAAGCGCTCAAAAAACAACTTTAAAATCTGAGCGAACCTCGTCATCCAACACAATGACAACAACAACAACAACAAAAAAAGATCTGTTAAACTCAGGGATGAAAACAGGTTTTGAAAAAAAATATACATTTATCGTTAATACAAGTCGAGATATTTGCGAAAGAAGGAGGTGGGGGTCACCTGTTTTCAGAGGTAAAATTAGTGAGAAAATGGCCGCCAAAGATTAGTTATTTCCTTAGCTTCAGAGTCTGTGGTAACTGAAAATTTACATTTTTGTGCCTTTAATCAACGCTTTTTAGAACAATCCACACAGAAATGAGTTCTTTAATGGGCATGAAAGGAGTCGAGTCAAAAAACAAAAATTTGATACAAACTCACAAACCTGCGGAAAAATGCAGGTTTCGTCACATTGATTATTTTGACGAGAGCCTGATTCCACCACGCTGCCTCACATTTCTTTGTAGGGTTTTGACAAAGGCCCATCACAATACACTGACAAAATTAGATTGCTTTAGCGTCAACATTAACAATGTGAAACAGTTTATTTTGTCTCTCCTGTAAAATATTGAAATTTGAGTTAAAAAGGTTCCAACAGAGCACCAATGATAGATTTATGTACAGAAAAATTTTCAGTTTTTAGTTTTAGTAAGAGTTTTACGGCATTTGCAACACAATAAAGTCATATATAAGTGCCGAAGATTAGAGGTGTTACAAGAGAGTAACAAACAACAAAAAAGGAGGAGGGGAGAGAGAGAGAGAGACGATAGATTTTTTATTGGAAAGAAAGAGCAAACCACAATAGAGCACCCGCCAAACACCCACAGAAATTGTCAGAATATGTATTTTTGACACACAGTTAACACATACCATGTGCTTGAGAGAAATGACCACTGGGACAATGTTCTCGATGACGTTGCGCCGGACCACCTGCGTGATGAGGACTTTCTTGGCCGTCGCAGTGACCATCTGTGCCATGTCCATCCCCTCTTCCCCGGCCTCTTCAACGCCTTTGCCTCTCAGCGTCGACAGTTTGATCTCCTGGGAAGACATTGCGCCATCAGTAGTGCTTTTCGAAGTTTAAAAGTAAGAGTACGTTTTAAGGCATTTGCAACACAAACAGGTCAAAAAGTGCCCACGATTAGAGATACTAGAGAGTAACACACAAAGGAAAGAAGGGGGGGGGGGGGGGGGGAGAGGGACATCAGAATGACAGATGTTTAATAGGAAAAGAGGTGCAAACTACATTAGAGCACCCATCTGCTTTCCACATCAGTAATCTTAGTAGTGCTTAGTACTATGAAAACCAGAGTAGCGCGTAATAAACCAGACCTGATTGGTACCACGAACGGTCGAACCCAAAAACAAAGTTTGACGTGCTAACATTTGGAGCATAGTATAAAGGAAACTGATTATGATGCACATGAGTACATTAACCCTATCCGTACATCGTGTTTTACTAACATATCCATACGACGTGGGGAACTCTGTGCCACCACTTTCCAAAGAGGAAATTTACTCGTTAATCCGATCCGTACGCTTTGCATAGCAGTCTGTCAAAATGATTTTTTGAGAAATACTGAAAGTTTCAAAGAAATCTTCGTACTAGAAGTATTCTAAAATGTGAAGAATACAACCCCGCGGGTGCAAAATGACCCCAGGGCGTACAGATAGGGATAATTACAAGCCACACCTTACTCCATGAACAGCTAACATTTTCAGATCAATTCAAAGGATTACTGTACAGCTTCAAATTACCTAACAACAAACAAAAATTACATCAAGTGGGGCTGGTTTTGGTGTAGTACAATGTATATGTCAATGATAATATGTGGTACGGCTTTCAAATTCCCGACTATCAAATCCCACACAGTCCTAGGAAATTTGGAAGTTTTGCAAGCCTGTAGAAAGTCATCATAATTGCCTTTCTTACCCTGCACCAGGGTAGAGGCCACGGACAAACACCCTCCACTTTTCTCCCTGTGAAAGTAAGAGGGCTTAAAGTTAACTTGTTACAATCCATCCCCATAAGTTTAGACGTGGAGTAGAGACGAACGTACTTTGAGCTACGACTTACCTTGCAGCTAAGAATGGCCAACGCATCCTTTAACAACATTGCGCCGTCTTCATCAAAGGGAAGAATATTATCGACAGTGGTCGACAAAATCTGCAAAACAATATTACATAAGAAACATAAAGATTCAGCACAAACACAGAAAGACCTTAATCCTGATACTGAACCTCAGCTGTGAAATTAAGTTTAAAAAAAAAAAAAAAAAAAAAAAAAAAAAAAAAAAAAAAAGCATTTATATAGCGCATATCCCCGCTCAACAGCAAGCTCTATGCGCTTTACACTATATTATTATTACCCCAGCAGACCATAGAACACTCCGAAACATTCCCAGCTTCCGCGGAAGCATACAGTGCAAGCTGCGGATTTCACGCGCTCAAACACTATCAAACTGACAAGATCTTTCTCTGTATATAGCCAGGTACCCATTCCCACCTGGGTGAAGTGAGGAAAATTGGTGCAAAGTGCCTTTCCCAAGGACACAACGTCGGGCCCCTGACGGGATTCGAACCCACGACCTTACGGTTGCAAGTCCGAGAGCCTAACCACTAGGCAACCGACGCCACCAAATATATAAATAAATCTTACTTATCCTTACAAAACAAGCACAAGTTAAAGACAGGTTCCACAAATAAATACTCAGAGCGCCAGTGACAGGTTAATGTTCGGAGAAATTACACAAATCGTCTGGCTCAAGGACACCTGCAAGCAAGAGTCCATGAATCTCATTGCTATTGTCACCTAACAACAAAAAGACGAGAACGTTACAAAATTTCCAAGACTCTTTACCTCTTTGTTAATCTTGTCGGTGATTTTGAACCTCTGCTCATCCGTCATGTGTTCCAGCATGAATGAGTACAGCTTGAGACGCCGACTAACGCCCAAAGAGAGAGAGGAGAGAGAGAAGGAGGTAAAATTATGACAAGTTTGCATACACAGACAAGTATGCACATAGCAAAATAGGCAGCACATGGAAATCTTTTGGACATGTACCCCTTTCACTGAGTTTTAAATACAAGGAATTTACATGCATAACCCCCCCCCTCCCCCCACCGAAAATCTGTTTCTTATGTATGTATGTATATAAGAAATATAAGAATATAAGAATAAATATAAGAAATTAAGTTTAAGTTCAGTATGACAATATCTATCAACCTTTTTATTCTCTCTCTCTTGACAAGTATTGGTCTAGCATGTCAAGAACAATCAACCTTGACAATTCTTTCTCCATTCCTCTTTCTCTCTTGAAGTCTACGACAAGCATTCCAGTAACAATAAACATTTAACCCCCCCCTCTCATTCTCTCTCTCTCTCTCATTCTTTCTCTCTCTAACACACACACAAACACACATTATTCTCTGCTGAAACAAAAAAGGAGGTCAGTCTTTTACCCTGTATTGAGCTTCCCTGCCAAAGTAAACTTCTGCTTCTCTCTGTCCGTCTGTTTGAATTTGTTGTACACTTAAAAGGAAGAGAGGAAAAAAAGGCATGTAATGGACATGTAAACACAGAAACACGATATGTGAGGCAGCGTGGTGGAATCAGGCTCTCGTCAATTTTTGGGCCCATCGAGTTATTGGTATCATCTTAAAGCTTGTTCACTTGGTTTTATTTGGATGAAAAAAAAATCCATTTATCTTTAATACAAGTTGAGGTATGTGCGAATGAAAGAGGTGGGGTCACCTGTTTTCAGAGGTAAAATTAGTGAGAAAATGGCCGCCAAAGATTAGTAATTTCCTTAGCTTAAGAGTCTGTGGTAACTGAAAATCAACATTTCTTGTGCCTTTATTCAACGTTTTTAAGAAAAATCCACACATAAATGAGTTTTTAATGGGCATGAAAGGTGTAGAGCCAAAATACAAAAATTTGATTAAAATTCACAGAGAGAGAGAGAGAGAGAGAGAGAGAGAGAGAGAGAGAGAGAGAGAGAGATATACATGTACATTAAAAAATCAGAACTTACTGACACACTTTAACCAACAATTCCAACAGCACTATCTACTATTTCTGTAAACCCTCCTAAGTTACCTTGGTGAGAATGATAACTGTTGAAGTGGAAGATGCATTCAATGAAAGGATGGAAGAACATTCCGGGATGCTTGGGCAGGAGCAAATGAGCAAGACTGTACTCCGCTGAGGAAACAACAAAAAGGAAAACAGTCAAACCTGCTCTGACAATCACCTGTTTAAGACAATCACCTGTTTAAGACAATCACTTCTCACCCCCCTGCATTTTTAAACATTACGATACCCCCCGGGCTGTGCCACTGACTGAAGTGCCTTTAGGCCATTCCCAAAGGGGGGACATATCTCGTTCAAGCATAGTAGAATTGTAAATGGGCTGACTCGTGTCACGCTCATAACTGTTTTTTCTTTCCTGATCTTTACTATTGTCACTTTCCTCTACTTCTTTTGTATGTTTGCCACTCCCTTGTGACCTGCTATTTTGACGTGCATTGATAGTCGAAGCAGACCATGTGCTGTTAAAGCTAGAGAGGTGAGCAGTCGAAGTCTGATTCCCTGAAAAGACTTCTCTGTTGACACCCACCCCTTGGCACCCATATGACCTTATGCAGTTGCGAACGCCGTAAAACCCTCTACTATATATATATATATTTTAAAAAACCCATTACGATGACACTTTGTGAGACATCCACCGGGCCTCTTTTCTCCTCGACTTTGGTTAGCCGTCTAAGACAGTTCTGACAGTAGCATGTTCAGCTGTAATGTGTGTAAGCATTCCAACTCGCAGTTTAAGGTCATCAGCTGACAAAAAGAAATTTATTTTACCATCTATGAAACTTAAAAAAATGGGTGAAAGAGCATTTGAATACCAAAGCCCCAAGATCTGGAATGCTTTACCAAGTACGTTGAGAGAAATCAAATCTTTTGATTCATTCAAATGTCAGCCGAAGTCGTTTCTGTTTTTAAATTAATAAGATGAATATTTGGAATAATTTTCTTTAGTCAGAACACAACGTTTCATGTTACTGTTGTACGTTGTACTGTATTGTAAAGCGCTCAGAGCCTGTGTACTTTATTCGGGGTTGAGCGCTATATAAACGTCATTTATTATAATTAAATAAGCAAGTAAGTGCGAGGGTTTAACACCCCTATCTATACTATTCCTTTCTTTCTTCTCAACTTGTCAGGTCTGGAGCAGACATTGACAATCATGGTAGTCCACTCTCTCCTGTTGTCGGTCTTCCTGGATCAACTTGGATTCCCCCCCCCCCTTGTGTTATTCATTGCAAAGTTGTTCAGGCCAAGCATGTATTGTGTTTTGTTTTTAAAACATTTTTTTTTATAGTAGAGGGTTTTACGGCGCTCACAACTGCATACTGTCATATGAACGCCGAGGGGTGGATGTCAACAGAGAAGTCTTTACAGGGAATCAGACTTAGACTGCTCACCTCTCTAGCTTCAACAGCACAAGGTCTGTTTACTATCAAGACACCCTAAAATAGCAGGTCACAAGGGAGTGACAAACATACAAAAGAAGTAGAGGAAAATGACCATAGTAAGGATTAGGAAAGAAAAAGCAGCAGTTCCCTGTTGCAGATCAGGCAGTTATGAGCATGACATGATGAATCAGCCCATTTACAATTCTACTGCGCTTGAACGAGAAATGTCCCCCCTTTGGGAATGGCCTAAAGACACTTCAGTCAGTGGCACCGCCCTTGGGGGGGGGGGGGGGGGGGGTGGTGGTGATGTATTGTGTCTTGAACCAAAATTTTCACAGTGGATGAATGAAACACAAAGAGGTTACAAGGTAACCAAGGTAACCAGTTTTAAAAAAAAGTTTTGTTTGAGTAAAGAGAAGTACAGAAACACAATAACAATCATCTAGTGCGGGAATAAAGCAAGATAAACAGATAGAAACAAGAGAGGGAGTGGTGTCGGTGGCCTAGTGGTTAGGCGGCTCTCGGACTCGCAACCGTAAGGTCGTGGGTTCGAATCCCGTCAAGGGCCCGACGTTGTGTCCTTGGGAAAGGCACTTTACACAAATTTTCCTCACTTCACCCAGGTGGGAATGGGTACCCGGCTAGACAGCGAAAGATCTTGTCAGTTTGTTAGTGTTTGAGCGCTTAATCAGCTGCTTGCATTGTATGCTTCCCGAGAAGCTGAGAATGTTTAGGAGTGTTCTATGGTCTGCTGGGGTAAAAAATAGTGTAAAGCGCATAGAGCCTGCTGTTGAGGCTATTTATTATTATTATTATTATTATTAAGGAAGGAAGGAAAGTAGGACCAACAGGCAGCACCCCAAAATCACCCATAGTAGCATGTCTTAGACTACACAAATCATCGAGCTGGAGGAGCCTTCAACGAGAGAGAATGACGAAGGGCTAAAATATTCACTCTATTAGGTAAACGGCTTTTTGCAATCTTGACAAACTTTCAATTATTGGGACAGTGGTCCCCAAGTGAAGACAACGAGTCAAGATATCATGGTTTTTTTTTTACCAGCAATAGATCAGGATAAAACCAACAATGAGAGAAAGTAGAGGAAGCAAACAATATCAGAACACCCACTAACCACCCATAAAAGCACAAATGACCATGAGCAACATACCTAAATTCCTGACTTCTTCAGAATCATCCAAAAGGGTGGCGATGTAGCGGAAAAAGAGAACCCCTTTCCACTTAACATACTCCTCCTGAAAAGAAAGCCAATTACAACAATTATGAGTTTACACGATAATAAATAAATAATACCTACATTTATACAGTACATATCCACACTCTACAACATTCTTTGCGCACTTTACAAGTATTATGATAATGATAAAACGATAATACAAGCCACATGAATCGAATTCAATAAAAACGGAAACCACATAGCGTATATCTTCTCCATTGATAAGATTTAAATAAGGTCACCTCACCTGTTCATAGACAGCTTAAACTAGACCAAAAAATCAAACACATAAAAATGGCTATGTAAATCTGTTTAGAGTGGGTTTATTATAAATCATATCACGGAATACTAATGCACACTGTTTTGGAAACACTTGAAAACATCCAAAGGGTGACATGAGCCCTTGAGCAAGGCAATCTCACTTACACACTTTTTTTCTCTTTCAATACTCTTCTGGCAATTTTTAGACTGGTAGATACTTGTGAGATATAACGTCATGTGGGCCTGCCTGCGTGCACGCACGCTCGCGGGCGCGTGTGTGTGCGTGTGTGTATGCCTGTATGGTGTGAGTGTCAAACCTTACTTTCTCCACAATTTGTCGCTGTCATGGTCAGTATGTCTCTCTCCTACCTGCAGAAGTCTGGTAAGGACAATGAGGGTGTTCTTTCGCACCAGCGGAGACGGATCCTTCAAACAGGCAGCAATGTTGGTCATGTAGCGATCCACCAAGGTCGTGTATCTGTCGACGAGTGTTTCAAACCAATGACAAATCCAAGAAAATAATGAATCTAAAAAACAAACGTGTCAGTAGGATGCACTTGAATTAGTTTACTAGTAACTTCTCAGTGTGTGTGTGTGTGTGTGTGTGTGTGTGTGAGCAATGACAAATCCCAGAAAATAATGATTCTAAAACAAACGTGTTTGTAGGATGCACTTGAATTAGTTTACTAGTAACTTCTCAGGGTGTGTGTGTGTATGCGTGTTAGTGTGTATGTGTTTGTGTGTGTGTGTGAGCAATGACAAATCCAAGAAAATAATTATTCTAAAAAACAAACATGTCAGTAGGATGCACTTGAATTAGTTTACTAGTAACTTCTCAGAGTGTGTGTGTGTGTATGCGTGTTAGTGTGTATGTGTTTGTTTGTGTGTGTGTGTATGTGTGACTGTGTTTGTGTGTGTGTATGTGTATGTCTGCAGATCATCTACTCAGAGCATGTCCTCAAATATACATGTGCGAGAGTGTTTGTGAGAGCACTCAGGTGTGTGTGTGTGTATGTGTGTGTGTGTGCGTAGAAGGACCCTCGGCAACATTTTGGAGAGAGCAACGGAGCATCAATGGACATGTCCAGAGTGCAGGGATGTTGCTTCCTGAAACAAGAACAAGAGTGTGCGTGTGTGCGTGTATGCATGCCTGAGAGAACACTCATATAGGATGTGTGTGTGCATATCTGTACGTGAGAACACTCATATAGGATGTGTGTGTGCATATCTGCACGTGAGAACACTCATAAATGTTATGTGTGTGTGCATATCTGCACGTGAGAACACTCATATATGTTATGTGTGTGTGCATATTTGCATCTGAGAACACTCACATGTTATGTGTGTGTGCATATCTGCATGTGAGAACACTCATATAAGTGAGCATATTATGTGGACGTTCCACTCACCGGATGGTCAAGGTGCTCATGACGATGACCACGTTGTTTCGGATGGCCGGGAATTCTGCCTCCTCCAGCTCGCGGGCGAGAGCGGCGATCGTTTTCTTGGCCAGGCTCTCATCCACCAGACACAGTTTGCCTTCAACGCACACACAAAAACACTATTCTTAGTTTAGGTACGACTTTTTTTAAAGCTTTAGTAAGAGTTTTATGGCACTTGCAACACAATAAGGTCATATAAGAGCTGAAGATAAGAGGTATTACCAACGAGTAACATACAAAGCAAAGAAGTAGGAGAGAGTTTTAGTTTTAGTAAGAGTTTTACGGCACTTGCAACACAATTAGGTCATATGAGTGCCGAAGATTAGAGGTGCTACTAGAGAGTAACGTACAAAGAAAAGTAGGAGAGATAGAGTCAATAGATGTCTGTTGGGAAAACAGGAGCAAACCACACCAGAGCAACCGTCAACCATCCACCACTATGCTTAACCCTATCCGTACGTCATGTTTTACCATCGTATCCATACGATGTGGGGAACTCTGTGCCACCACTTTCCAAGGAGGAAATTTACTCATTAATCCGATTCGTATGCTTTTTCAAAGCAATCTGTCAAAATGATTTTTTGAGAAATACTGAAAGTTTCAAAGAGATCTTCGTACTACAAGTATTATAAAAAGTGAAGAATACAACCCCGGGGGTACAAAATGACCCCAGGGCGTATAGATAGGGTAAAAAAATTATTTTAAAAGATTCCTGACAAGGAATACTGAAACAGCTTACCTAAGGTAATAAACGCATGCGACCTCAATTTGTTGGACATCTTTGAGCCCCGGAACTGCGACAACGGCTGCGAGAACTGGCTACTCCTCTGTGACGAGAGCTCCTCTTGCGAGTGCTGCTGCTGGCTGTTGGAAACATTCTCCGCAGTCCCTTTGTCCCCAGATTGGCCGGCGCGCGAGCCAGAAGAGTTCTCCTGGGAGTCGGATTCGTTTGTGTGGTTGTTGTTGTCGCTTCCGTCTGACGCCTGCGTGAGAGTTACACGATCGCCGCTGTTTCCTGCAAAAGTAAATATTACGGAACCATGATTTGGAATATTTTGGAGAAATATGGAGGCAGCAAAGTCATCGGAATTAGGTCTCACGTGTATCATCGTCAACATTTATTTCCACCAATCAAATTTCCTGTTTCCTGTTGACAGTCACTGCAGTGGAACCCATAAGGAGCACGAGGCAGGGGTAGGCCACGGGAAACATGGAGGAGATGCGTGGAAAGGGACATGAGAGAGATGAAGCTCACTTGGAAGGAGCTTGGAAGGATGGCTCAGGACAGAGATAAATGGAAGGAGCTTGTATGTGGCCTATACCCTGCCAGGGGTGAAAGGCATTGATGATGATGATGATGATGATGTTGTTTTTTTTTTTTTTTCTGGAAGCGTAACACTTACTTATAATTACTACCATGATGACATATTTTGAAGGTAGCTTATAAATATCCAGCACCAATTCGAGACGTGGTACCAAAAAAATTAAATAAATTAAATAAAAAATATCATATTTACTACCTGGGCAACGAGATGCTGACAGTGTCTACTATAAATGCAAATCACAAGAAGGGAATCGAACTTGAGTCTTACATGTGATGGTGAAACGCCTAACCCGTATACCGTATTATTGTGAACCACCTGGAGCCGTCAGGGAGTGGGCTCTATAGCAGCGATCTTTAACTATGCAGGGTTCCCACTCATCAAGAAGAAAAAATTTCTAGGGTTATTTCACGGGCGCCTCATAGATTTTGTAACCATTTTCAAAGTGATCTTGTTGTTTTTTTAAGATGACAGAGCTAGGAAGAAGAAATGAAGAGAAATGCAAGATAAATTTGTGACATGGCCATGTTTTTTTAAAGATGACAGAGGTAGGAAGAAGAAATGAAGAGGTAATCGCAGCTAATTAGACCACAGAGAAATGCAAGAGAAATTCCATGGAGAATCCCTTGTCCTGGGGTGTCAAAGACAGGGGTCGTAAGAAAATTGTAATTGAACAAAGTCGCGATCCCGCCAAATTCATAATGATGGGCAGCCCTTTGGTTTCCCTGCTTTCTCCTGTATATTTTCGTTTTCATTCATTTTCATGGTTTTCCTGACCATGAATTCTAAAAATGAAGTTCCCGTTTTTTTCCCCCAGTTGAGTGGGAACCTCGATTATTATTCTCTCTCTTTCTAGCCCTTTTTAACTCCCAGTGGAGCAGAGGCCATCAACAACATTACTATAGCTGAAGCCTGTCCTGTGCATCCTTTTCTAGCTGTTTCCATGATGTCCCCGCCTTTTCCATTTCTGCTTCTACCGCTCTCCTCCATGTCATCTTTGGTCTTCCTTTCTTACGTTTTCCTTGTGGATTCCACGTCAAAGCCTGTCTGATGATGTTTGTCGGGGGTCTCCTCAGGGTGTGTCCAATCCATTTCCATTTCTTCACTTTTATGTCTTCCTTTACTGGCCTTTTGGGTTGCTCTTTCCCACAGTAGAGCATTTGTGACTCGATCGTACCACTTGATCCCCACTATTTGATTATCCTTATGAACATCTTACCCAAGTCGGAGATGCAGGGAGCGGCTATGACGGACTGGATGAGGAGAGCGGCCCGCCGCGGCATCCTGGTGGGACACATCTGACACACCTCTCCCAGCGTGAACATGTAGCGAATCAGCTGCTCCTCATCCACAAACTGATCTAGAACGAGAAGACAAAATGAAAAAGTCAAGCAGGCAACTTGACAGAGTTAAGAGAATTCCTGAACAAAAAGCATACTCTCGTAATTCCCAAATGAGATAGAGGGGAGACTTGTATTTTATTCGGTGCACAGTAACGAAATTAATTATTCCGTTTAAAACAGCTCAAGATGTTGTGCAAGAATGCAGTCACTATTAATTAACAGAATGATTCTACAAGAATTTGTTACAAAAGATTTCAGAACTCTTGACAATAACTATAATCAAAAAGGAGGAAAAAAATCTAGGAAAAGTAATACTTTACTTTTACTTTTCCGATCCAGCGGCCGTTTGGGTTATGGAAAAGTCATACAGATTCAAACAAGAGAAAAAAAAAAAAAGGGGTAAAAATCAAAAGTATAGCACAAAAATGGTCCTGTTGTTGCTGATGCTAATTTGTTGATTTAAATTTAAAGCATACCAGCAAGATAACAGTCACATTTCATTGTGCTCCTCATCCACATAACAGTCACATTTAATTGTTCTCCTCAACCACATAACAGTCACATTTCATTGTGCTCCTCATCCACATAACAGTCACATTTCATTGTGCTCCTCATCCACATAAGTCACATTTCATTAGGAACAAGCCAGGAAAATAGGAACATAAGAAGAAAAAAAATAATAAAAGAGTGGGTCACACAAGAGCGTCTTCCAACCAACCACACAAAAGAGTATGAAAAGCTGAACAATTAAATAAAGAGTAAAACAAAATTTCTCCTTTCTTTATCGTGTTAAACTCCCAATAAGGACGCCGTGTTTCCCCATAGTGCTTCCCCCCCCCCGTGTGGATTTTTCTGAAAAACGTTGATTAAAGGCACAAAAAATGTAAATTTTAAGTTACCACGGACTCTTAAGCTAAGGAAATAACTAATCTTTGGTGACCATTTTCTCACTAATTTGACCTCTGAAAACAGGTGACCTCCACCTCCTTCATTCGCAAATATCTCGACTTGTACTCAAGATAAATGGATATTGCTTCCTCCAAATAAAGACAAGAGAACAAGCTTTAAGATGATACTAATAACTCTACATGCCCAAAAATTGACGAGAATAGGCAGACAAACTGCCAGGAAAGGGGCTAAAAGGAAGGAAGGAAGGAAGGAAGGGAGGGAGGAAGGAAGGAAGGAAGGAAGGGAGGGAGGGAGGGAGGAAGGAAGGAAGGAAGGAAGGAAGTAGGTTGGTAGAAATGTGTTACCCTGACTACTGTCTGTGTTGAGGATGACACTGGACATGTAGGACGAAGGAAAGAAGGGAGGGAGGAAGGAAGGAAGGAAGGAAGGAAGGAAGGGAGGGAGGAAGGAAGGAAGGAGGTTGGTAGAAATGTGTTACCCTGACTGCTGTCTGTGTTGAGGATGACACTGGACATGTAGGACGAAGGAAAGAAGGGAGGGAGGAAGGAAGGAAGAAAGGAAGAAAGGTAGGTAAGTAGGCAGGTAGGCAGCAGCTAATTGAGTAGGTTGGCAGAAATGTAGTACCCTGTGTGCTGTCTGCGTTGAGGATGACACTGGACATGTAGGAGTCACACTCAGACATGAGCTGAGCGCCCCAGGCTTGCTTCTGACGCTGGGATGCCTCACTGTCCAGGCAGTTGTGCAGCTGAGAGAGATCGCGGGAGGGAGGGGGGGGGGACAAGAGCGCAACATGTGGGAAAGATGAAACATTTCTAAAAAGTCAGTTTTAGTTTTAGTTTTAGTAAGAGTTTTATGGCACTTGCAACACAATAAGGTCATATAAGTGCCGAAGAATAGACGTGTTACAAGAGAGTAACAAACACAAAAAAGAAGGAGGAGAGAGAGATAAGGAAGACAGATGTTTGACAGGAAAGAAGAAGCAAACCACACCAGAGCACCCGCCAATCACCCTCATTAAACTTTTTTTAAAAGTCAGTGAAGAACAAAAGTTGACAAAGAGGAGAATAAACGACATCCTCTTTGCTGGGGACTACCCAAGTGACATTGGCACAGTTTATAATTGAACCTTGTAAACAATATGGAAGTGGATATTTATACGGCAGGCCGTCGAAAAATCGGAAATGATAATTCCACAGCACATAAATTCAGGAAATCAGAACATCCGGCCCATTTATAATTAAGCCTATTATTATAATCTCTTTTCCATAAGTAACGAATAATTATAGATACAATTTAAAATACCTGTATGTTTAGTTAACAATGTTTATCCTTTGCTATCATTTTGTGCATTATGGACAATGATGAAATGTTTTGTGTGATTGTAACGAGAGTGAGAGATGCACAATTTATTTTGGGCTAGCAAAATGGAGAGAAGACTGTTTTTTTTCCAACAGTTGGGGTGTCCATTTGCAGATGGGATCGGGTCGGGTCGGGTAGGTATGATCACCCAACTCCTCGCCTGGAAAACAAACACAATTTTAGCATTGATACACTTCAAGCAGAGCTTATGCCGTCGAAATATCAATTCCGACCTTTAGACTCAAGGCGTCATACCGTGTTATAGGTATCACTTCCGATGTTCAGACAGCATGCCGTGGAAATATCAACTATGATTTTCAGATGGCATGCCGTCTGCCGTCGAAATATCGCTACCCAAACAATATTGACCGGATAGGAACAAGGAGAAAAAGGACCTTCCAGAAAAAAAAAATATTAAAAATTCGTTTTTGTTTTCGTAAGTGTTTCGCGGCCCTTGCAACACAATAAGGTCATATAAATGCCGAAGACTAGAGGTGTTGCAAGAGAGTAACAAACAAAACAAACACAAAAAAAAGAGGGGGGGGGGGGGGGGGGGGGGGGGGGAGGGGAGGGAGATAAAGTGAAAGATTTTTTATAGGAAAGAAGGAGCAAACCACACCAGAGCATCCGCCAACCATCCACATGCAGGAGAAAGAGAACAGCAGGCGTACCAACTTTTTCAAAACCCAATCAGGGAGTCCAGCGTTATAACAACAAAAATATACATAACAAACAAAAATTATATCAAGTGGGAATGGGTTTTTTTCGGCACAGTGTATGTGTGATAAGGATCTCAAATTCCCAGTCGCCGAATCCCGGACAGCGGTAGAAAATCCAGGAAGTATGGCTGACTTACCTGGGACACCGTGATGACCATTCTGGCAATCAGAGCAAATGGGTACGAAAACTGGTGGAGTCGATTCTTCAGGTCATCTGAAAACACAAAATCATAACCTGTCCATGAATTTCTCTGACTTAAGATAGCAGTTCAGCCTTTCGAATCGAAAACCAAGTATACGTAAATCTAGGGGAAATCAATTTTTAAAAAATAGGATTTGGTTTAAGCGAAAATGTACACATCCGTCTATCTTAGTCTGGGACTGATATCGCGACGTTCAATTAATATATACAAACACTACTGATCTCAGAAACGCTTTGACCAGTGCATGTAGATATCTTTTTTTACAGTTTGTGACAATGTTTGATTTTATCAGATAGTAGGTTTTCAATTCAAACAACTGGGTAGCTGTTAAACAAATGTTCATGCCAACTGACTATGCAAAAAAAAAAAATCCTGAACTTTTCAGACCCCCATAAAAACGTGCGCACAAAGACTCAAAATTCACCAATCATATTGTCTAATAAATCTTGAACCAAGACTATTTTTATACAAATGCCATAGGATATGTACAAAGATGAAAAATAAAATAAATACATTACATCATTCGTACTGTTTTATACATCCGGGTTTACGGATTTATCTCGCAAATCAGTACTACTGTTCATGTCTTTATCACACACTGGAGGCTCCGTAAAAATTTCAAACACCGCATGGTAAAACTGTGCTTTCACAACCAGCCTCAAGAATTTCCAGCTCTGCAGTTTCACAGAGCAAAAGGTTTGCTCCAGTATAGTTGTGAAAACGTTTTACCAGTTCATGTGAGTCTGTTCCCGTCGTTTTATGCAAGAAAAATTTTGAAATTATGCAAACTGAGCCCAAAAATGTGAAATTATGCGATTGTTTTTTTTTTACAACAAAGAATGATCATCACCATTATCCAGTGCCAGATCTGCGACAGACATTGGCGATGATGGTTCTCCATTCATTCCTTTGCTCGGATGCTCTCAAAAAAGCTACGTTTCCCTGTTACCCATTCGTTTAGGTTACCCAAGTATGTTGTTCTGGGCCTTCCCCTGCCTCGCTTGTCCTCAATTTTGCCAGTGAGAGCTAGATGTTCAAGACCCTTATGTCTATTTATGTGTCCCAAAAACTGCATTTGTCGTTTCCTGATTGGTTTTTTTTGGTTTGTTTTTGTTAAGTGTTTTACGCACGGCATCACTTTTCGCCCGATTCTGTTACTTTTAGTTAGCGTGACTTAGCAGCCCGCTAAGTCATTTCATTTTGAAAGGATTAGGCGGGGGAGGGGAGGGAAAGAGCTACTACTGCGGAAGGTAAAGTCTACAATCCCAGAAAGCAGTTTCACCTAGCAAGCCCGTGATGGCCTTTGAGGGCATGGACTTGGCACAGCTGCTCAGAACACACAGCACATCGGTCCACTTGTCGCAGGACGCATCAGCTGTTGGGAGACACGACGTGACGAAGAAACTCAATTAAGAAATTTTAAAACCCATAAAAATTACATTAAATAGACAAATATAAAAAGGGAATTAAAAAAAAAAAATAATGCAAATCTTAAGAACTTACATTACAAGAATTTCTACAATATATACAGAAAGTATTAAAACTTGTACAGATTCTTCAGCACTGCAAGACACACAGGGCCCTGAGACAGGAAACGTGGCCAACCTCACTGACGCTGCAAGAGAAGCTATACGGGCCGCCAGATGAACTGAGCAGGACGGCCCAATTTATGACAGATACCAGACTTCAAGTGTGATGCGATCGAGAAGAATAAGAAGTACAGATTTTACCAGAAAGAGATGAGGAGACTGAAGTAAGAAATCTTAAAAATCATCATCTTTTTGTGATATTCACTCCGAAACACAGTGCAAGACACAGACTAACTAGACCACGACAACATAATACAAATTTAAGTGAAATTACTTTTTTTTTTTTTAAACCTTGCAATGTAAAAAATGTAAAGATATAAATTACATCAAATAGACAAACATAAAAACGGAATTAAAACAACAACAACAACAACAACAAACAAAAAAAAAAAAAAGAAAGAAAGAAAGAAAGAAAGAAAGAAAAAAAGAAAAACCCACCAAATCTTAAGAATTTACACATTGCATGAATGTACATAAATTACAGAAAATTTAAAACTTAAACAGATTTTACCGAAACAGATAGGGATAACAGTAACACATGACATCAGAAGAGATGGGTTTAAAAAAAAAAAAAGTTTTAGTAAGAGTTTTACGGCACTAGCAACACAATAAGGTCATATAAGTGCCGGAAATTAGAGGTGTTACAAGAAAGTAACAAACATAAAAAAAGAAGGAGGGGAGAGATAAGGACGATAGATGTTTGATAGGAAAGAAGAAGCAAACCACACCAGAGCACCCGCCAACCACCCACAGAAGAGATGTGGAAATGGCATGCCAGACCAGAGCTCCTTTCAATCACACTACAAAGACATGAGACAGGATGAGCGTTCGTTTTAGTAGAGGTTTTACGGCCCTCGCAATTGCACAACGTCATATGAGCGCCATACAGGATGAGACTTTGCTTGTTCATTATTTAAGAAGAATTAGTTCATGATTATGTCAACTTTTTCCAAACATATGTTTTTGTACGTACAGTCTAGCACACACACATAGCAAAATCAGTATGACGCAGGAGTCTTATCTTTTCGTTACATATGAATATCGTTATAAACTTTTTTTAAATACAGAAAATATACATGTATAAGAACAAATTTTGGACCTAAGAATCTGTTCCTTAGATGCCTGTTTCGCCATGTGCATCCTAAATGTATATATATATATATAGACTACAGGGGTGAAAACGACGGTAGTCACAAACTGAAAATCATGAGGGTACCAATTTTGAATGCTTGTTGACTCATAACTGTACTTCTGTTCATCTGTTGGTTGGTTAATGGTGTTAGATTTACAATTCAACAACACTTAACAATAAACCAGCAGTCAAACAAATATGAAGTTAAGAGTCCATAAGCTTTTAAATTGGCACCCTCCCTTACAATTTCCAGTTTGTGACTACCGTCGTTTTTCCCCTGTGCTCTTCATATATAATGTTCAAATCTTCAAAGGCCGACCTTCTGTGAGGGAGTCCACAGTCTTCCAGTGCTCCACAATGAAATCATGATCCATTTTGACGTTCACCTTTGACATCTCAGCAAGCAGCATCCAAGCAGCCTGATGTGTAGGCGAAAATATACAAAATAACATGCACAATACCAATGTCTACAGAAAGTTGCCACAGCTATTGAGCTGTGGTTTTAGTTTTTGTAAGAGTTTTACGGCACTTGCAACACAATAGGGTCATATAAGTGCTGAAGCTTTGAGGTGTTACAAGAGAGTAACAAACACAAAAAAGGAGGGGAGATAAAGACGATAGATGTTTGATAGAAGAGAAGGAGCAAACCACACCAGAGCACCCACCAACCACCCGCGAGCTGTAGTTTAAGGGGAGTCAATGTAAAAATGACAACACTCAATCACAAGCAGACAGAGACAGTCATAAAATTGTAAAGATAAAGAAGAAAACCACACCACAGGGACCATCAGCTACTGGCATCTTTAAAATACTTTTTAAAAAAAAAGTGTTTTACAGCACTAGCAACACAATAAGGTCATATAAGTGCAGAAGATTAGAGGTGTTAAAAGGGAGTTACAAACACAAAAAAGAAGGAGGAGAGATCAGGACGATAGATGTTTTATAAGAAAGAAGGAGCAAACCACACCACAGCACCCGCCAACCACCCACTAGCATCTCTAGAAAAGAATTATATATGATGATCATAGCAACCAAAAGCTAAAA